TGCCGGCGAGGGCGGCGTCCAGGGCTGCCGTGGTGACGGCGCCCAGGAGAGCGGTCGAGATCTTTGAGTCCACCTCGGAGGAAGTGTCCACGGCCGGGAGCAGGGCGTACGCGGTCAGTGCGCTGGCGTCCGCCTTGGAGGCCTGCAGCCCCGAGATGGTGGCGTCTCTGCTCGCGAGCTCGGAGGCCAGCGCCGCGGCGGTGACGCCCCCCAGGAGAGCGTTGGCCACCTTGGTGTCCACCTCCAGCGGCGTGATCCTCGCCGCTATGTCCAGGGAGTGCTGGTCCACCACCGTCTTGAGGCCGTAGTTGGCGGCCACCGGGGCCAGCGTGGCGTTGTTGGCCGAGGCGATGGAGCCGTTCATGGCCGCCGTGGTGCTGTAGTTGGACAGCTTCAGGTCCACGCCGTCCGGGGTGCTCTTCGTCGCCACCACGCCCTCCAGCACGTCGAAGGCCGACTGGTCTGCCTTGTTGGAGAGACCCGTGGTCAGCGAGCTGGCGATGCTGCTTCCGTGCGCGGCCACCTGTCCGTCCGTGGCGGCCAGGGCCGCCGCCGTGGCCAGGGGCGCAATTGCCGGCGCCAGCGCGCTGCTGTCCAGCTTTGAGGCCAGCTCGGCGGTGACTCTGTCGTCCAGGGACTGGATGGCCGCTGCGTTGTTGCCGGAGGCTGCCGTGTTCACCGCCAGGTCCGTTACTTGCGCGTAGGGCGTCAGAGCCAGGGCCAGCTGCCCTGCGGTGACGCGCGTGCCGTCAGTTACCTCTCCGTTGTCCAGGACCTCCGGGATGTTGCCGGTGACAGGTCCTTCAAACATGTTTTCTTAGGAGTAGGTCATTAACGCAGGGGTGTTGTACTGTCGCAGCGCGCCCTCACAGGCGTCGCCGCTTGGTGGTATGTTTGACATACCACCCCCTCGTCGGCACAAGTTTCCGCACGTGTCACAGGGCCCGCACCAGGCCCGCACGTTGGCGTGGAATTTGTAACGGGGCATGTGTATTTTTTTTTCGTACACTTCGAAGACTTTTCAGCAGTTTCTCAAACAGTGAGAATCTGCAAATTCTCAGGCGAACGCCAGCGCAACACCCGACCTGCGAATTTGAAGGAGCTCACCGTTTGAGCTCCTTCAGCAAAGGTCACCAAGACCTCTCTCTGTAGAGAGGGCCCGCACCAGGGTTTTTTTTCGGATGTGACTCAATTTGATTTGACCGATTTCGCCGGTCAAAAGCGAGACCTGCGCACGATGGAGCCAGTGGCCGGCACAACCGGACACTGCTTCGCAGTTGGTGCGAGACATCAGCTGCGTGCCCTCCATGTCGGCGGGCTGGCGCGGCTCTGCCGGGCAGGTTCGCCGAAGGCAGTTGTCCCCCCACAGGACCACTGGAATTTTTTTTCACAGTTGTCGGCTTAGACGACAACCTCGACATTTTTTTTGCTGGGAAGAATCTCGACCTTGGCGTGGGCTCGGCAGGAGGCTTCTATGCCGGGCAGGCGCGGCCGGGCTCCGATGCCGGGCAGGAGAGCAATCCTGTTGCCGCAGCAGGATTGAAGGGGCAATCCTGTTGCCACAGCAGGATTGGGTGGAGCAATCCTGTTGCCACAGCAGGATTGACGGCTGGGCGTGTGAGTGGTGAAAAAACACTCCGTCAGCGATGCTGCGAGGACAGCCTCGCTGACGGACCTTCGGCGCGGGCCCGGTGATGGGTTTTTTGGGCAAAAAAGCGAAGTCGGAATTCCGACCTCGGTGTGCAGGCAGGCTGGAGGCTTCTATGCCGGGCAGGTGGTGCGGCCGGGGTGGAGGCTTCAATGCCGGGCAGGTTCGCCGAAACTGTCGGGTTAGACGACAGTTTCGATTTTTTTCCTGTGAACACAAAGTGCCTCGGAACTGGAAACAGGCACGGACCATTTTTTGGTTGCCCGCACCAGGGAATTTGAATTGAAGGATATTATCATTCAATTTGGTATACTTCCAGTACGACACGAACGTCTTGCGCACTCGCGGACTTGCCGCTGAACCCGTACTTGGGCGAGCCAGTTGGGCGAGCCAGTTGGGCGAGCCAGTTGGGCGAGCCAGTTGGGCGAGCCAGTACTAAGGGGCCGTTGGGCGAGCCAGTACTAAGGGGCCGTTGGGCGACGCCAGTACGAAGGGGTCCCACCTGCACCAGGGAATTTGAATTGAAAGTTATTAACTTTCAATTTGGTATACTTTTCCATAAACGACACGAACGTCTTGCGCTCTCGGGGACCATGCCGCTGGAAACCCGTACTTGGGCGAGCCAGTTGGGCGAGCCAGTACTAAGGGGCCGTTGGGCGAGCCGGTACTAAGGGGCCGTTGGGCGAGCCATCAAACGAGGTTGGGCGAGCCAGTTGGGCGAGCCAGTTGGGCGAGCCCGTACTTGGGCGAGCCATCAAACGAGGTTGGGCGAGCCAGTACTAAGGGGTTGGGCGAACCCGTACTAAGGGGCCGTTGGGCGAGCCACTCAACCACAGTGGCCTCCACGCCTGCTTCAAAGCTGCGCCTGCTTGGCGCTCCTACGGTGCCAGCTCGGCACGTTTAGTGCCAGCTCGGCACGTCTAGTGCCTGCTCGGCACGTTTAGTGCCTGCTCGGCACCCCGGTGCCAGCTCGGCACCGGGGTGCCTGTGCCTGCTCGGCACTGTGCCAGCTCGGCACGTCTAGTGCCAGCTCGGCACATTTAGTTACTAGTGCCCGCTCGGCACGTGCCCGCTCGGCACATTTAGTTACTAGTGCCCGCTCGGCACTGTGCCTGCTCGGCACGTGCCCGCTCGGCACTGCCTGTGCCTGCTCGGCACGTGCCCGCTCGGCACATTTAGTTACTAGTGCCCGCTCGGCACTGTGCCTGCTCGGCACTGCCTAGGTGCCCGCTCGGCACCGCCCCGCCTGCGAAGTTCAGGATGTCCAGGATGAACCTACGTACGGCAGCCTGACAGGAAAAAAACAGGGGGAGGGGCACGGGGTTGAGCCACATGCACATGTCATGCGAAAAGACGTGCAACATGCAACACCGTGCGAAAAAACGTGCAAAAACCATGCAAAATCATGCCATGCAAAATCATGTCATGCAAAATCATGCCATGCAAAATCATGTCATGCAAAATCATGTCATGCAAAATCATGTCATGCAAAATCATGTCATGCCAAAACCATGCAAAAAACAAGCTGTTCCACATGCAAAAACCATGCAAAAACCATGCAAAATGCGGCGCGTACGGAGCGCCAACCCGCTGAACATCCACTCTCCCCGGGTTCCTTGCTATATGTGCTATATGTGCTATATCTCACAAGGCAAGCCACTGAACATCCACTCTCCCCGGGTTTCTTGCTATATGTGCTATATGTGCTATATGGCCCTATATAGCACATATAGTACAGATTTCGCGCGTACAGAGTATATAGCACATATAGTACATATAGCAAGGAGCTGGGGGAGAGTGGGGTTCAGCGGCTTGGCGTGTAAGATATAGCACATATAGCACATATAGCAAGGACCCGGGGGAGAGTGGGGGTTCCGCGGCTTGGCGTGTAAGATATAGCACATATAGCACATATAGCAAGGACGCGGGGGAGAGTGGGGGTTCAGCGGCTTGGCGCGGCTTCAATGCCGGGCAGGCGCGGCCTTGCAGCCATTGGCAAAAAAAGCGTGCTGCAGTCCTCCCCCCACGGGAGGACTGGAATTTTTTTTTCCTGGGAAGAATCCCTTGGCGCGGGCTCGGCAGGGTGGCGCACCCGGAGTGCCAAGAACATGTTCATCCGACATGTAATCCGACATTTTGAAATTAAGCGCGTATAGCGGCTTGGCGCGGCAGAAATGTGAACACGAGTGGCAATTGTGTTGGCACTTGTGTTGAAGAAATTAAGCGTATAGCAAGAAATCCTGGGGGAATTTCAATGCAGGGTTTCTGCAGGGAATCCCTGCTTTCCCTGTATCCCTCTCTTTAGAAGACTTTTCAGCAGTTCTCAGGCGAACCTCTCTCTGTAGAGGGCGTTTTCCAAATGGCTTATAATGTACCTGAGAGGCTTCTGACACTCGTCCGTCCAGCATTTGACCTCGTCCTGCGAAGGATTCGAAGTCTAAAACGCTGCGTGCAGGCGTGTGGCTGCAAAATAGAGACCCCTAGATATGCGCTGCAATTTGGCTCCAGGTTGCATTTCAAGCGATGTCAAGCTTTGCCAAAGGAAAACCCTTTTCCCTTTTTTTCGGGGACCCCTTTTTTTTGGACCCCTTGTTTTCTTTTTTTTTGTTTTTTCTTAGCCCTGCAAAGGTTGGCTCGCTTGAAATGCAACCTGGAGCCAAATTGCAAGCATATCTAGGGGTCTCTATTTTGCAGCCACACGCCTCCACGCAGCGTTTTAGACTTCGAATCCTTCGCAGGACGAGGTCAAATGCTGGACGGACGAGTGCTAGAAGCCTCTCAGGTACAATATAAGCCATTTGGAAAACCCCCTCTAAAGAGAGAGCCCATGCGGTCGGCGGGGCCGGTGATCGGAGGACACGCTCCTTGAAATCGTAGAGCATGCCGTCGCAAAAGAGGATTTTGTGCCGTGTCTCGTCCACTGTCTTAAGACCGGGCAACACATCTTGCACATCAGGTCTTCCACGGCCTGGCCCCGGTTTCGCACCAGCCAGAAGCCTCCCTTCTTGAAGCTTTCGTAGTCCTCTTCTCACCCCCCTCCACCGGAACGGTGCGACCGGGACCAGCTGCGCCGCCGCCAGCTTCGCAAAGTCCACGGTGTTTGCCCTCGCCGTCGAGCAGTTGGTGGTACCCGGAGAACTCCATCTTCGACTTAAGTCTCCAATCCAAGTTGGGGTACTCCGCCGCGTGTGCCCACGTCCTCCAGCTCGTGCACGACCACCTCGACATCCACGGCTCGCTTTACCTCGCTCGCGGAGCGGGCCCCCGATGCCGTCGTGCTCTACCACGTGGCCGTTTTTGAGCTGCTGCCACAGAAGGCCAAGGACTGGCACATGGAGCAGGGCCGCTCCACTGCCTCGGGGGCCTTTGCCCTGTACGCCCACCACGAGAGGTTGCAGATGGAGAAGATGGCGGCAGCGGGCAGGGCCTTCAACGCCACCAGATGAGAACTACGTACCGCCGCCGCCCTCAACGATAACGCCTTCTTCACCGGTCTGTCCTCGTCCGTTCTGGCCCGCAGATGGCGGACCTCGAGGCGCGCCGTCTCGAAGCCGTAGAGCCAAGCAGCCACCTCGCCGCGCTCCCCCTCAACCGAAGCCAAGGGTATGTCCTGCAGCACCTTGCTCGTTCAGTTTGCGAAACCACCCCCAAACCCAGGGCAATCATCAGCTCCTTCGCCACGCTGCGCCGGCGGGCCTTGGGCAGCTTGTGGAAGAGCACGGTCTGCGCGAGCTTCTCCTCACGGTGGTCCAGGTACTCCGCCATGATGGGCGGCAGCGGCTTCTGTCGGTTCAAGAGCTGGAAGAACGAGTTCTTGATGTCCAGCTCGACGGATCCAAGGCATGTAGCGGACCAACAAGCGTGTCTGGGACCCCCATCTAGATCTCCTTGCGAATCTCCGGCGGCAGCTGCTTCCTGTGTCCTATCTCGCGGAATCCACGGCGCCTCACTGCCTTTGCGCTTTTTGGCAGGCGCCTCCTGTGCGGGCACCCGACCGATGCCGGAGCAATGCCGTCCGTTCACAGAGCGCTTGAACAGGCTCGTCAGCACATCAAAGAGACTGTGGTCGGGGCCTCGCCGCACGGCGTCGAGCTGCAGAGCGTTGCTGATGGTGAACACGCGATGGTGTTTTAGGTTACCGGTATTTGCCACACACGGTACATTTTTTCGGAGACCATCGAATCTCGTTGCTTTGTAGCGGGCCCTCCAGCTTTTGCTTTGCGGCGGCCTCTGTTGCCACGCGCGCAAAAATTTCTTCCTGGTATTCATTGCTGGTGGCCCCACAAGATTACGGCATCTCTGACAAGGATTTGGTTCAGGCCTTCCAGGTTTGGTTTTGCTTGCGCGTTGATGGACGTCTCTGCCAGGCCCATGTGGGTGCGAAGCCTTTTGATTTGCAAGGAGACATGCTGTTCTGGCTCCATGTTGTTGAGCGGGTTTCGCCGGTCTCGCGGTTTGCAATGGAGTTGGCAGAGGTGTCACGCCGGATTGCGAATGTTAGACGACAGCTGAGACGAAGCCAGCCATACGGGCGGCCCTGCTGCGGCCTCTCTTCTGAGACCATGGTTGCTGGTCTGCTTGTTTTGAATACTCAGGAAGCAGTTTTGAATGTGTGAGCCATTTTTTCCAGCGACATGCCTGGCCAGAACGTTCGTTGGAAGAAGCCGAGGATGCGTTTGCTTTCATGTATCGCACCACGAGGTCAGAAGATATTGTCAAAATCAGTGTGTTTCCACCGCGGCAGGCGTTGGTGCGAGCGATTCTTTTCATACTCTGCTTTCGCTTGTGGAGATTTGTGAAAGAACAAAACGAACAGCGTGGAGTTGCGCCGCATCGGCAGCAGCTGATTCAGTTTGCATTGGCGCACATGCCGAAGTTTTTGGATGCGCAAACCTACATGGTGGTCAGTCGCCCTTTACTTGGCACTCAGAGAACCCAGCAAAAGTTCTTGCGGAAATTTCGGCTGCAATGGAGCGCCAAAATTGGGAAACTCCGCCCTAGTCCTCCTGTTGGCCGCGGCATTTTGCAGGAGAAGGCTGGGACTGGTAATGAAACGCGCGCGACGCATCCAGAATATATTTGTGCGCGGCGCCTTTTACCCCCCGTTTTCGGGGGGCCGATTTTAGGAATGGTTTGGGACTTGTTGCTGCAAATTTTCAACCCTTCAAATTGGGGGGCCGTTTTGGGCGTCATTTTGGGGTTCATGGTTGCCAGGTCCTTGCTTTTTTTCGGTGGTGCAACGAAGCAATTTCGGACGACTGCATTGTGGTGAACATGGACGAGCTGAGTTTGTCGTGGCATTTGGAGCCTCGGGGGACTGTGCTGAGGGCTTATCACGGGGGCATTCGAGTCCGCTCCGACCAGCGGCGGGCACGCTGCACCTGCATCGCTTCTATTTCTTCGGATCACGCGTTCAACTTGCTCCTGCCAACGATCTTCGTAGGGAATACGCACCAATTTGATTTAAGTTTCACGCGCACGGCCAGGGCCAGATATCACAGCCTCTTTGTCTGGAGAGAACGCTCGGCTTGGATGACACACCAGCTGATGCAGAGATATCTTGAGGTGCTAGCTGCTTTGCCGCGTGACAAGCCGCTGATACTGCTGTGTGACATGTGCCCTTCTCACTTGGGTTTGGACATTTTCACGTTCGCCCAAGCGCGGGGGGTTCGCATGGTCATGGTGCCGACCCATCTCACGTGCCTGTTACAGCCATTAGACGTTTGCGTCTTTCGATCTTTCCGGTGTGCTATCGAAAGACGGTGGAATGAAGCCCGCAGCAGGGCCCCGCAAGGTGAGTTGTCCAAGCTCGCCTGGCTGGAAGTGGTGGCTGGAGCCGTGCAGGCTGTGCTGCGTGAGAAGGAGTGGCGCCGTGCGTTTCTCACCACCGGCATCATGGAGAAGCAAGAGCATGTTGCCCGTAAATTGTTGCAGGCTTTGGGGTGGAAGCAGCTACCTGTGATAGCTCCTGGTCCACCAAGCTGTGGGCAAGCCTGCCAAATGTTTCCAAACCGACGGCTCTCTTTCAATGTCTCTGCCGTTGTCGAGTGGTCTGACATGCATTCGGTTCCAGCCGAGAATGTGCGAAGCCTGGACTGAAGGAAAATGAAGTCCGCAGTTACTTTGTAATGTGCATTTTGCAGGAGTTCTGCCAGCAATGTGATTTAGTGTTACTGGTTCTATGGCCTTCTTTGGCCCACACATGGGTACCCTCGGTGTCCTGAATCCGGCCTGCGAGGAAATGTGTTTTTTTCACCCCTTTTTTGGGGGGGCGACAGTTTGAAGACTCCAAGACTCCAGACTGCTTCACGCGTTGTGCCGTCAAACCACAACACTTTTTTGGTGCTTGCTGAAAAAAGCCGGCCTGCTTGTGCGTGGCAGGTGCTCAAGGCCGAATTGGAAGAGTTGCGGCAGCAGCGGGCCCACTTGCGACAGCAAATCAAGGTGAACCGTGCGCAAACCAAGGACGCCAACCGACGAAAGAAGAAGTTGTTGAAAGCTGCGCGGCAGCTGAATGTGGAGGACCTGAAGAGCTTGGTTGCGCTAAAAGCAGCGGACTGAAACAATTTTTTGTGTCGCCCTACAGTCGCTCCAAAGGAGCTGTCCGATGTTGCCTTCGGAAATGCTGTAGGCGTTGCTCGCACTACAACCCTTGTGGTGGTGACGTAGCTGTCAGCAGCGCAGCATCGTCGCTCTCCTCGGAGCCGTGGAAACATGGTCGCTCATTTTGGGCATGCCAACGGGGTTGGACGGTCACTGAATTGAAGGTTTCCCTTACATGTTGATTAGGTTTCAGACATTGTCTTGGTCTATCCATTTTTCTGGGAAACGAAAAAGAGGTGTTTTACATATCTTCGCGATAACCGTCTACCCATTTGTCCAGGTAACGCACACAGACACATCTGTCATGTTGAACACGCCTGCATGTTGAGACACTCTTGCATATCGTTTCTTTTGCTTGCCGGATTTGGTTAACCGCTGCCGTGGAAACATGGTCGCTCATTTTGGGCATGCCAACGGGGTTGGACGGTCACTGAATTGAAGGTTTCCCTTACATGTTGATTTGGTTTCAGACATTTTCTTGGTCTATCCATTTTTCTGGGAAACGAAAAAGAGGTGTTTTACATATCTTCGCGATAACCGTCTACCCATTTGTCCAGGTAACGCACACAGACACATCTGTCATGTTGAACACGCCTGCGTGTTGAGACACTCTTGGATATCGTTTCTTTTGCTTGCCGGATTTGGTTAACCACTGATTTCTTTTTCGATATGGATCGCGCAGTGATTAACCGATGGGCCCGCATCTAACAAGGAACTTTCAGAGTTTGTTGACAAATTTGATTCGCTTTTGACAGGATTTTGTCTGTTTCTGGTGTTTTTGAGCACAGATTTTTGCGAAGCAGGTGTTAGAGAGTGGTTGTCAGACATGGTGCTGACCAACGCAATGCGCCAAACAGACCCCAAGGAATTTTGAGAGTTTGTTGACAAATTTCATTTTTGGCGTTTTTGAGCACAGATTTTACGAAGCAAGTGTCAGAGAGAGTGGTTGTCAGACATAGTGCTTGTTGAACAAGCCCCATGTCTCTGACAACCACTGGGCCCGCAGAGCCCCACAAACATTGACCAACGCAATGCGCCAAACAGACCCCAAGCAATTTTGAGAGTTTGTTGGCCAATTTGATTTTTGGCGTTTTTGAGCACAGATTGTACGAAGCAAGTGTCAGAGTGGTTGTCAGACATGGCGCTTGTTGATTTTTTTTGGCATTTATGCCCACAGATTTTACGAAGCAAGTGTCAGAGAGTGGTTGTCAGACATGGTGCTTGTTGAACAAGCCCCAGGTCTCTGACAACCACTGGGCCAACAGAGCGAACACCACAGACACCAGATAACTGGGAACCGGCTGCCTGGCAACAATCTTTGAGATGTGGGGCGAGTGGAACTGTTCGAAAGCAGTTGGTCCCAGTGTTTTTTGTTGGGGTCTGTGGGCCCATTGGCAGTCACAAATGTTGTGTGAGCCCCTCGGTCATGAAAGGGTCTCACGAAACATTGTGTCTCAGCGACTGGCTGTTTTTAGGGGTTTCTTGGCTTCGTTGTTTGTGTCACAGATCCTCACAGAGACCAGATAGCTGGGAACCGGCTGCCTGGCAACAAGCTTTGAGATGTGGGCGAGTGGAACTGTTCGAAAACACTTAATCCCAGTATTTTTTGTTGGGGTCTGTGGGCTCATTGGCAGTCACAAATGTTGTGTGAGCCCCTCGGTCACCAAAGAAACATTGTGTCTGATTAGGGGTCTCTTGGCTCCGTTGTTTGTGTCACAGACCCCCACAGACACCAGATAGCTGGCAACAATCTTTGAGATGTGGGGGGAGTGGAGTTGTTCGAAAGCAGTTGGTCCCAATGTTTTTTGCTGGGGTCTGTGGGCCCATTGGCAGTCACAAATGTTGTGTGAGCCCCTCGGTCACCAAAGAGTCTCACGAAACATTGTGTCTCAGTAGGGGTCTCTTGGCTCCGTTGTTTGTGTCACAGACCCCCACAGACACCAGATAGCTGGCAACAATCTTTGAGATGTGGGGGGAGTGGAATTGTTCGAAAGCAGTTGGTCCCAATGTTTTTTGCTGGGGTCTGTGGGCCCATTGGCAGTCACAAATGTTGTGTGAGCCCCTCGGTCACCAAAGAGTCTCACGAAACATTGTGTCTCAGTAGGGGTCTCTTGGCTCCGTTGTTTGTGTCACATACCCCCACAGACACCAGATAGCTGGCAACAATCTTTGAGATGTGGGGGGAGTGGAACTGTTCGAAAGCAGTTGGTCCCAGTGTTTTTTTGTTGGGGTCTGTGGGCCCATTGGCAGTCACAATTGTTGTGTGAGCCCCTCGGTCCCCGCAGAGTCTCACGAAACATTGTGTCTCAGTAGGGGTCTCTTGGCTCCGTTGTTTGTGTCACAGACCCCCACAGACACCAGATAGCTGGCAACAATCTTTGAGATGTGGGGGAGTGGAAGTTTTTTTGTTGGGGTCTGTGGGCCCATTGGCAGTCACAATTGTTGTGTGAGCCCCTCAGTCCCCGCAGAGTCTCACGAAACATTGTGTCTTAGCGACTGGCTGTTTTTAGGAGTCTCTGGGCTCCGTTGTTTTTGTCACAGACCTCCACAGACACCAGATAGCAGTATTTCTTGTTGGGGTCTGTGGGCCCATTGGCAGTCACAATTGTTGTGTGAGCCCCTCGGTCCTCGCAGAGTCTCACGAAACATTGTGTCTCAGCGACTGGCTGTTTTTAGGAGTCTCTGGGCTCCGTTGTTTTTCACAGACAATTTCTTGTTGGGGTCTGTGGGCCCATTGGCAGTCACAATTGTAGTGTGAGCCCCTTAGTCACCACAGGGTCTCTCGAAACATTGTGTCTCAGAGACTGGGGTCTCTGGGCTCCGTGTTTCCATATTGTGGGTCGCCTTTCCTCTACAACCCCCCCCCCCATACAATGGCCCGTTCCATTCCTTGCACCCGGGGTCCATTCCTTGCATCCGGGGACTGGGGGGGATTTTATTACTTTGTATTTCTCAAACGCCGGAAAAGGCATCCGGGCCTTTTTTGGGGGAGTTTTGCCATCCGGGGCAAAGTCGGGCACTGGGTTTCGCGCATCCGCGTGTGCATCCGGGCTCATCCGGGCCGCTCTGTCCGGCCGTTTTGTAGCTTGCTCAACCTTCTTGGTTTCACTCTGTGCTTCGGTCCGCTTTTGCAGAGCCATGTTGGTGGCGCACGAAGCGGCGCCAGAAGATTTAGAAGCAGCTCTCGAGACTTTGATGTTGGAGGTCGAAGGCGCCTTGCGAGACGAAGTTTTGTTTGCGGAGGCCACGCCACGTCCATTGCCAATCCAAGCCTTTGATGTTGCTGGGGCGCCGCCCCGACGAAGGCGCCGCATTGATTGGAGCAAGGCCCCGCCTTGGACATTGCCTTCTGGAGCTGATGGCTTTGTAGCCGCGTTGTCACATCGTGAGCGATCCGCCCTGCGGGACCAGTGGTGCATCCGGCTGTTGCGGGAGTCGCCAGACTTAAAGCAGAATGGGTACAATGCTGGTTTGGCCCACGCCAAGCAGTTGTGGGCATCCATGTCACCAGAGCACACTGTTGGCTGGCTAGCGCACCTGACAGACAGCGCTTTTCCAGCGCCACCTGTACCATGTTTGTCAAGCCAGCGAACACGTTGCGACCCAGTTTCTCCTGCGGCAGCCGGTGTGTCCAATGATGGGAAGGATGAACGTCTCCATGGCTACTTGCTTACATACAATGGTGCGTGGGGCGCGCGAGATCCAGACGCTGCTGCTTTGGCCCAGATGCAAGGCTCCGAAGGTGAGTTGGTAGCTGTCGAAGTTTCGACCTTTCACCAAGACTTGTGGCGTGCGTTTGTTGCCCATATTCACACTGTTGCGGAAGGGCAGGGCTGGGTGCATGTGTCGTGCAAGATGGAATTGAGTTTGAAGAGAAGCAAGCGACGCAATTTGGTGCATTTCCACGTGGCAGTTTCTACCCCAGACAAAGCCTTGCGGTTCGGCGCCTTGCGTCTTTGGGCGTTTCGGGGCTCCTGCCCGCATGCGCCTGGGACCAAAGGTCGCGGCAAAGCTCTTCAGCGTCAGCTGGACGCAGCCCATTATTATGTACAGGCCCCGAAATATGGATCGGTCTTCTGTCAATGCAATTATGCTCGGTTCCATGACTTTGTTGTGGACGCTTCTTCCATCATGACCGTGTGGCGTTTCTACAAGCTTGCTGATGACGTTGCCGTTCAAGAATTGTTGCAGGGCCGGGTCCGAGGCATCCGCAATCACATGGCCGAGATTTCTTTTGTGCAGGAGCAAGTTAAGCAGCGCCGCGACACGGCCCTGCGGGAGGGGTTGGATGTGCGCTTGGCGCAGTTCAGAAAGCCTCAGCGCTGTTTGCAAGCTGTTACTGATTGGCTTGCATTATACACTTCTGGGTTTGGCTCTCGTTCGAGATTTCCTTTCCTGATCCTGCACGGTCCTTCGCAATATGGAAAAACATCCTTCGCTGTGTCTCTCTTTGGGCCAGCCGAAACACTTGTGGTGTCGTGCCAAAATGCGCAGCAGCCGAACCTCACGCAATTTCAGCGATCGCGCCACAAGTGCCTGGTGTTCGATGAGTGTGAGCCGGAGCTGGTGTTGCAGAATCGGCAGTTGTTTCAAGCGGGTGCGACGCCTGTCATGCTTGGCCAGTCGCCGACGCAGCAGCACGCGTACCAGGTGTTTGTCTACGCCGTGCCCATGGTGATCTGTACCAATGTCTGGTCACGTGACGCTGACCCTTGGCTTGATGCAAATTCAACGTACATTCATGTTGACGCACCTCTCTGGCAGGAACATGGCGCCATTCCAGACAATCCGTAAAAGGCGCAACCCTTGCAGCAGAGTGGCAGGGGTGTCTAGCGTGAGCGTTCGGGTTGGAACTGCTAGTTTCTATTTGCCCGCAGCAGCCAATGTTGTTGGACAAGCCCCATCTTGCAACTTGGGGCTAGGTTTTTCCAGTACCCCTTCTTCAATTAGTGGTGGCG